ACCAGTTGAAAGCTTAGCAAAATGGTCCAAGTAGCCGAAGCGCTCTGTAATGCAAAGAACCGTCAACCACAGGGACGTGAAACGTGGAGTTCACGTCTCGGTGTAACGTTAAGACTATGCTGCTGCGAAAGACAAGTTTCACCGAGGCCGTCTCCTGGCGTCTTCCTCGCCCCGCTCGTGTCTGTACTTCACTTAATAGAACGGAGCGGGGCTATAGGGGAGGGGGGGGGGGGGGGGGGCGAAAGCCGGACAAGGCACGCAGGCGGACTGTGGCGGCTCGGCTTCAGTCCCTGGTGTGCCGCTACTGGGCACGATAACCGCAGCCGACTCCACCTGGTGCTGAGGCCTGGCAGCCCGCGCCGACCAGCCGTGCCAGCTCCCACGTGCCTTTGTCTCTTTGTGGGTCCTGGGTCTCTGACCTAACTGTGGAAGATCGATACACCTCACGCCGGAGATTTCGGCAACACGCCCGTGTTTGGAAGGGGCGAGCATTCACGATCAGGAAAAGATGTCGAGTGGAAGGAAGGTGCGGGAAAGTTAACGCAACAGACAAGAGTCTTAAAGGACAGGGAAAGGTAATGCAACCGGCAGGGTCTAAGAATACACCACAGAATGTGAGGAGGGAGATGCAACAGCGTCGCCCGCCTCTCAGCTTGGCAGGAAAGGCGGTCACCTCGGAGATGTTGAGACACCATTCAGTCTATCTGCCTAAATGGCTTAATCGTCACCAAAGGACCTCCTTATCTGCACGTACTTTCACATTTTCGTGCGTTTAGCTGTAGCCGCTGGCTGTTTTAGGCCTCTTATCGGTGGGCTTTAGCATACTTGATGCCAATTAGTATTCCGTCATGTGTCGTCGGCAAAGGTCATGGGTATAATACACCTATGAATCACCTTTTTATCACTTTGGTCGTCTATTTGTATTATTGTGTTTGCTATTTGTTTATTTATCCATGTATGGTATCAACTTATAATCCATTTCGTTTCTTGCATCTCAATGACCGTGAAAAGGCTCCTGAACGTTTGCACTAATGAACGCTATCGGTTTCGAAGACAGCGCCGGTATTTTATGAGAGCAAGAGAGAGTTGTACCGGAAATGGTGTTTGCTCCGTTGATGTACGATAGCGTCCACATTCTGCAGGCTGCGAAATTTTTGCCGCCGGCTATGAAGCTGCTTGTCGAAAGCGGCGAAGGGGCGCACAGGTACATCAGAACATGCCGTATCTTCGCTCGCCATGTCGACCGACTTCTATTCCTGTTTAACCGGGCGGGATCCGATCTGATGGTGTTCGTGCGACCCTGCGCCGGCCCTGTCTTGAAGTCCAGATCTCTGCTGGGCTCCATCCCATGGTGAGACTGTTCTCTCGAGCGAGGATCTCCTCCTCCCGCCCTGCCCTGGGCTCGGCTTTGTCCTAGCCACCCAGAACTGGTTCGCCCGGGCCGACAGGAACAAGGCTCCAGCCCGGCCGACAAGCCAAGGCCGCCTGGGGGGGGGGGGGGGGGGGGGGGTGGGACGGGCGAGGCACGCGACGCTCTGTCGTTGTCGTGCGAACAGCCCGCCAAAGAGTGTTAACGATCGCTGGTGGTGTACGCTTTTCTGATGGCGTTCTACGACTGCAGAGGTGGACGCAACGGGCATATTGCAGCACGGCGGCACGGGTGACGAATGACGGGTGTCATGGGTTAGGTGGTGACGGGTGTCATGGGTTAAGTGGTGACGGGTGCCATGGGTCAAGTGATTACGGGTGCCACGGGTCATATGATGACGGGTACCGCGGACCAAATGATGACGGGTACCACTGGCCAAATGATGACGTGTACCACGGGCCAAATGATGACGGGTACCACGGGCCAAATGATGACGGGTACCACGGGTCAAATGATGACGGGTGGGATGGGTCAAATGATGACGGATGGGATGGGTCAAATGATGACAGGTGCCACGCACCATTGTGGAGAGAGAGCTGATAAGTTCGCAATCGCAGGAAGTCGATTTATGGCAAAAATTCTTCAAAAAATATATGACGGGCCAAGGACAGATTAAGATATTTGACATAGCTGTCGTTTCACCATTTGTATAGATCCCAACCTATAGTGAATATTTCGAACTGCAATGCGGTTCTGTATGTCTAGGGATGCTGAGCTCCACCATCCCGTCTTACAAATCACACCGAAGCAGATCGACGCAGTTTTAAACTGCTGATCATCAGAATCACTACAATCAGACTGATAGAGCAGATATTGAGGAGAATGCGACCTGCGCTAGTATTTCGAGAGGCTATGTGCATACGCTAAGGTGGAAATCAATAGGGACATCTGCTTTAAAGCTAAACCGCTTGCTATTGAATAATGATCAGTTTCGTCCAGTTCGTGATTCTTGGACACTTCATTTAGATTTTGCACTCGATTTTGATTTTGCACCTGCACTCAACGTGCTGGTGCAATCACTGCACAATATCTCAGTTGGACACAGGAGCACGGGCAACAGTTGGGGTTCGTGAGATCCGGATCCCAGCAGCTTTTGGGCAAATCAAAACCTTTGTTTTGTTTTGGTTTCACGAAATTTCACTAGAACAGAATTGAGCCCCGGTGACCTTCGCGGTGTGGTTACGTCCATGCGTAGGTGCACATACATCTCGGTAAATACGCGAAGCCTATTTTGCTGAGCTGGACGTGTAAGCAAACTGCAGTTAATGAGGTGTTTTTAAATGTGACAACTAAGCCAGCAATTACAATGCCAGCGGGTGCAGGCGAATGGGATGCTTCATTGCCTGTCGTTGAGAGGCACGACACTGATGCCGTCCATGAGTAACACTTTGCATTCATGGCGATTTTCAACCCCTCCCCTGATTATGCACTGGGTGCGCTGGGTTATTGATATATATATATATATATATATATATATATATATATATATATATATATATATGTATGGCCATATAGAATGTAACATCCGCTTGTCCCCAAAATGAAATGGAAAGGCAACACAAATAACGGATCTGTTCCACGTCATGAGAGAAAGCCAACAGTATTTCGCTGCAAGGTTTCGTGTTTATTTAAAAGCTGTTGGCATAATTTGTGAACATATCCGAGCGTAACGTTCGCCGTCCTAGGTCTCCTCCGCTTTCCTTGCTGCTCTTCCGTTACGCTCCATCAAAAACCAACCACCGCTCCTCTGCAACTTAATTGATGGACGACCCCTAACGACGAACTGATCATAAAACGTGACCGGGGTTATAGTTTCATATCCAGTTGAGGGAAAAGGACTGGAGCCCCCCCCCCCCCCTTCCTCTTCAGCTTGAGCTTCAGCACAGCATCTTTGAGAAGAAAATGGGCCAAAGCCGTGGAGAAACCCGTTGTTGGAGTAATCTCGTAGTGGGTAGCGTCTTTTTCACCGTTCAGTGGCCCTTTCCCCCCATCTCGTTCGACACTACTACGCCCCTGAACGTGACAGCCTTTGCTAAGCCGAAGTTCCAATTCGAGGGCTGCCTGACGTGCATACCAGACCACGGTCACACTCTGCCCCATTTCCAGCCAATCGAAGAAGACGTAAATCCACATTACAGCCCCAAAACGACCAGCGAATCGCCGCGGGGGCTGCACCGGTGTCGTGCTCCTATCTCCACCAGCTGCGAGTGTCGCGCAGACACCGTGCAGCTGCCGCGTCCTCTCCACCTGCCGGAGGCACCACGCAGCCGGCGGGTCGTTGCCGTGTCCGCTCCAGCGGCCGCGGGCGCCACGCATCCACCGCGTCCTCTGCACGCGTTCTGCCGCGTTCTGGGGCGAGCCCAGCCCGCTCGAGACGCGTCACGTCGGGGCCGTTTGAGGCCGCCGCGTGCGTTGAGCATCGATTGGCCGCGTCGCTGCGCGTGTGGCCGGTGTGAACCCCGCGGCCGGCCTTTGTTGGCGCGCGGCGCGCGGCCGCCGTCGGCGCCGACGGCGGCCGGCGCCGGCGTGCGGCAGCGCCAGTCGTCGGCGGGCGATGGAGGGCGGCGGCGGCCGGTGCCGGCAGTGCTGCTGCGGCTGCTGCTGCCGCTGCTGGTGAGTGCGTGCCGCCGCACCGGGCGGCCCTGGCGGCTTTATGGGCGGACTGGCGGAGGGCGGACCGCTGAAGGCCGGGCGGATGTGTGTGTGTGTGTGCGCCGGTAGCCGGGGCCGCCGACCAGGTGGCGGCGGCCGCTCAGCCGCCGTCAGCTGACCCGCCGCACGCGCGGCGGGCGCGCGTCACGGAAGAAATCGCCTGACGTTCCCAGGCGGACTTGAGTGGGGTAGGCGCGAGTGCATTACGTACATAGCGGGATGCGAATCAAGCAAGTGGCGTAACATAATAGGGTTGAAATGAGCAAATTGCTTCTGACTTGTCGCACCGCCGGTATAGAGGTTAGAGCTCTGGTCTCGGCTCTCAGCGGGGGGCAAACTCACTGTGTCCGGTGGTCGTCGCCGCAGGAGTTCGAAGCTCTCCTATAAGGCGTTACGTTTCCTCGACATGGAGGGAAACATTATAAACTGATGGCGGTATCAAAGCCTAGCGTAACACGTTGAATACCCTCAGTGTTATTCAGCTGATGTGCTGGCATACGTGGGACCATCAGGGATGCAAAGCCAGCGTCCATGAACAGGCTGGGAATGCTAAGTACGGATTCAGACGTCATTGATATGGGAGTACATCATTTGGGCGGCTGCATTTGTATTACAAGCACGAGGTTTGGGTGTTTGAGCTGTGCAGCAATGGAAGCGTATGTGGCCGTGTGAAGTGCTTCACGAATTAAAATGATTGTAAAGCAGATCCAATCATGCCAAACGCGGGCTTTGTAAATGTCTTCCTGAGACTACCGGATAGCTGTAACGACATGTCCCGGTAACTGAACGACTTTTCGGCTCTGCCGTTATCAGGTAATCGTATGTCATGACGAATGTCATGGTGTCACCTTCAGATGTCATGGTATGATATCGTACAACTTTTTGTCGTGATGTAGCTCGATATCAGTTTGAATGTAAGATGCCAGGTGACAGGTAAGTCAGGTGTATCAAAAGGCGCCCATAACTATCTGGAAAGTATGGTGAGGCCCGATAACGTCATCATCCTCTTCCAACCAACTGTAGTCAAGGTTAGATCGTTGCAGGGGAGGCGTTACGAACGGGGGAATTAAGGGGGGGGGGGGTAGTGCGTCTTTAGTAATATTGTGTTTTAGGCTTAGTTATACTGCATGCGAGTTCGAGTCTGTCCCTGAGTCGTCGGAGGTCAGGTACAAGTCCGAGCTCGCGTCCTGAGTCTCGTGCCACATGCCACGACTTCATACACGTCCTCGTCTAATATAGACCTCTGATCCTCCGTCTAAAGCCTAATTGACAACTCGAGGAGTCAGGCTTAGACATTTTTTGTATGACATTAAAATCACTATTGCTTCGATTGTCTAAACGACCGGCATTAAATCGAACGAGCCTTCCCTAAACCAACTCAGCACGACTAAACTTTAACACACAGCACCCAGTGGGACCCAGCCGGGCGCCGTCAGCCACAGGCGACCCCGACTGAACCCAGCCTGACCCACACAACTTAACCCGGTCTGATAAAGGGTGATGTTCAAACCAGGTGCGACTCGGTCCGGGTGCTCCTTCCGCTTTGTGGATATGCCCAAGTGCTAGGCTTATAATTACTGCGTTTATATTTTCAGAAAACCTTTATAGTTATTTTGTTCTGTGCAGAATAATGACTAAAATGAATGAGAAGGAACTGATTAAACATCTTTTACTTTTGAGCAAACGTAGCTACTACCTGCATGAAAAAGTGTCAAAAACTGCCGCAACGTACGCTCGTATTTCTTGAGCAGGATGTCTCTTTCTGCCAATGGACAAACAAAACAATTAGCTAGCCGCAGGAAACATTAAGTCACAACATGGCAGATCGAGGCATGGCTAATATACTTCGCAGTGACGCCTCCAATGTGTGGGTGGTGAATGTGTTACCATGGCATGACAATGGAAAAAGGTAATGTGGGGACATTTGGAAATTAACAAACCCATCACCTAAACATAACGCCAATGTCGGGCGACATTAATCCTGGCTGGTGAGATGGCGCGCCCCAGAATTTCTTAGTGTTGATAAGACACCGGTTAGTGGGTCATGGCAAACGTCCCATTATTATAATGTGTGGGTTCAGACACTATCACACTTGACATCAAACCGGGGGTGTCAGCTGCTGGCTGTCGCGCACATGATGCCCCTCGCTGCTCTTCACGCTTCTGCTCTCGCGACAGCCTCTGGACGCGCTCTTTGTCACATCACTCCCGGTAAGTCCTCCGGCTCAGCACGGCCGGCGCGTGTTTGTTGACGCGTCGACCCTTGTTCGCGGCGGTCCGCCTCCACCGGCCTTGGCTGAGGGCGTGTCCGAGTCTCGGTCGCTAACGGCTCCCTTTGTCCGCCCGGTAGCGGACGGCGCGGCTCACGACCGTCCGGCAAGCTGCCGGCGCCCGACTTCGTGACCGCGGGCGGCGTGGGGTCGCGACCCGACGAGCCCGGCGGCGCCGACGGCGCGCGGGCCGCCGCCGCCGACGACGAGGGCGAGCTGGTGCGGCTCCAGGAGCTGCTGGAGGCGCGCGGCGTACCGCCGCACTTGTTCGGCCAACTGGGCCCGCGCGTGCAGCACATGCTCAGCAATGCCCCGGACGGCCGCGGTACGTGTGGTAGGCGGCGGTCCTTGTTACAACGTCGGGAGAGGTGCGGATGTGTGAAAGCTGTGTTCTCCCGCTCCGCTCCGTACGCCGTTTGGCGGACTTCGCGTATTGCGTAACTGCGTAGGGATCGGAATGAGCACAGGGGTGATGAGTCACGACTTGGCAGTGGAACATTGCAAATCATCACATGCTTCAAGGTTGAAACCGATGTCGCGGCACGACGGGCTTTGTGCCCGAAACGGTGATTACACTTAGCTTCTCTTGTCTGTTTTGCATTTTTTGCCAAGAAAATGGAATTCACTTGTGCCGCGGCAGGCTGCAAGATCCAGCAGCTGCTTCAAGGCCTGCAGGCGTCAGGCGATGAGAACCAACAGCTTCAGGCAGTGATAGAGCTGGGCCAGCTGCTAGTGATGGGCAACGAAGACACACTGGCCACCTTCCCAGTCAGCAAAGTCATACCGCCGCTGATTAGACTCATACAGATGGATCACAACTTCGATGTGGTGAGCCGGTCTGTCATTACAAACTTTGCCTGTCTCACACCAGGACTTGTCCCTCAGTTATATTGCCTATCATTCGCTGTTCAAGCGTGCATAATGCCTATCATCTCCCCGAAGTTGTGTACTGTTTCAAAGCTTTGCACATGAATGCCCCTGTTCCTGTGCTCTGCATGCCAGTCACAAAAGCGCATGCTGAGAAGACCCTCACCCTTGTTTACCAACAGGAGATTTTGACATACTCCTTCGCATCTCACAAGTCTCATCTGCCTCAAGTTTGTCGATCGCTTCGCCAGCCATCGATAATGTTCTCAGATCCGTGAAGTTGGCGATTTATTCGGCGATTTATTTCGCGATGAGCTTCGATGTCTCCTAAAACACGCCAGGTAGTCAGTTATGACACAAGAACATTAAACGTAGCATTTATTTTGCAATATCATGCGATCTTAAAGGTAAAAAACAAGGACAAAGAACATCTAACTCTATATCACAAACAATTAATGGCCGGTTTTACACTTTCAAGGATCAGAATATTCACCACAAAACGAGCAAGCGCTCGTCAAAACCTTCTGACCTCTGATCATTACATTTGAACGTCAAATTGACGCTCAAAGGACGAAAAACTTTACATCATCAAAAATTGCCGTCCAGTTTCGACTTAAAAAGGCGTAAAAATGCTTTAAAAAACTAGCGTTCATCTAACAGGTAACCTCTAAAGGCTGCTCCTTCAAAGTCAAACTGAGGCAAAAATGGCGGAAATTCCATATCACCAAAAACTTACCTGTGAATTTCATCTTTTCGAGCATAAGAATATTCACAAACGTAAGAGCTAGCGTCCGTCAGAAAGTTCTGACTTTTTAAGGTCACGTAGTTCATGCACTGGTAAAAATTATAATGCTTGAAAGGTGCAATAAGCCGGTATTGATGAGGACATAGATTTTCTTGTCCTCTGAGCCTGATTTTGATCTTAAAATGTAACCTTGAAAGTTCGGGACACTTTGACGGACGTAAGTTTTTGCGCCTGTGAATATTGCGTGCCTGAAAAGTCTAAATCGGCCTTATTAAATCGGCCTCAAATCGATATTTTTTCGATGATATGGCATTTAATGTCATTTGAGCATGAGTTTAACATTGAAGGGTGACATTCAGAGGTCAGGACTTTTTGGCGGATTATAGTTCATGCGCTGGTGAATATTCTGATGTCTGAAAAGTTGAAATCAACCGGTACTTTTTGGTGACATAGGGTTTCCCGTCTTTTGACCTTGCTCTTGACCCTGAAGGTCACATGCTATTGCAAAACAGATGTCATGTTTGATATCCTCGTGCCATAATTTACCATCTGACGTGTTTTCAGAGACACTGGAACTCGTGGCTGAACATAACACTGAATAAATCGCCACTTCAGCTGTCTCCCACCACGACCTCAATGAACCGGTCGTGTCTTTCTCCGGTCTTGTGTTCAGACTCCTCCGCCGTAATGTGACACCTGTCGACTCGTCGTCTCCAGATGAACCAAGCATGCCGCACGCTGACGTACCTGCTGGAGACGCTGCCGCACAGCTCGGCGACGGCGGTGGCGGCGCTACCGGCGCTGCTGCGCAAGCTACAGCGGATCTCCTGCATGGACGTGGCAGAGCAGGCACTGGTGGCCCTCGACCTCATCAGTCGCCGGCACAGCAACGGAGTGCTGCAGGCGGTGAGCGGCCAGAGACGACTCACTGAGTCAGCAGAGGCGGTTTATCACAGGAATTCTTGTGGTAGAAGGGACCGGTTGTTACTGGGTATCACTGGAACGACGGCAGAGACAGAGACTGAGATACACCAGGTGATCAACGAAAAGCCAAAGATTTGGTGTCACTGGGTACCGCTGGAGCGGCAGGGTTTCAAAGACACTGGGGAAGCTGGGATAGCCAGTGTCGGGCGTCACTGGGTTCACTTAGAGGGCCTGGGTATTGAGAGAACATCACTGAAACGGGTGGAGCCTTGCGTAGCACAGGCATCACCATGACATATCGAACCGATTGACATTGGAGGAGGTGCACCTGGGGATCACTGTGCAGCTGCCACCGAGTGTGACTGGGGGATTTTCGGGATGGTGAATGCCATGCAGCGAGGATCACCGTGCCATCGCTGTGACGTCAGTAGCGCTGGGCCGCGCGTTACTTGATGATTACTTGTATCGGGGGGGGGGGGGGGGGGGGGGGGGTCGCGAACTATATGCCAGCGGATATCAGTGTAGAGGAAATGTTGCTGGTGACTGCTTGACAGGATCTTACGCGAACCAGTGGTGACACCACGCAGATGGTGGCTCCTGGCCGCATGTAGCATGCCTTCTAAATGTTCATGATTGCGATCTACTTCCAACCTCAGCAGTACGCTTCGGGCGATTACTTCTCGAAATAGAACAGAAGGAAATATTGCAATACTCTACTGCCTCTCATGGCCTATTGTAGAGCTGAGGAACGCCGGTGTTTATGGGCCATGACTGCATAACTCCTATATTTATGAGAAGAGAAGCAGTTGTAACGGGAGGAGGGGGGGGGGGGGGGGGGAGGAGCAACGTTCAACCCACCGAAGGCAGCATCCATCCTTTTAAATTTTAACGACCATATCGACGTGGTTTACATCAAAACCCAGCCGTCAGTTGCGGTGTGACCTCCTGCCGTTCCGAGCGGCGCAGCGGGTGTCCTGTGAGGGACTGCAAGTGGCCGGCAAGGCGTCAAAGCAGCTACTGACGCTGTCCGCCGCCCTCTGGCAGGGTGGCGTCGCCTCCTGCCTGGCCTTCATCGACTTCTTCTCGGTGGCGGCGCAGCGGTCGGCGCTATCCGTGACAGCCAACTGCTGCCTCTCGCTGACGCCGGCCGAGTTCCACCGCATCAGCGACCACCTGGCACCGCTGGCCAGGCGGCTCGCTCACGAGGTGGGAGGCGCCCGGCGCCGCCGAGGCGGCAGCCGGCCGGCGGGCGGCCGCTGTGCCAGTCACAGTCAGGGGCGCAGGTCATGGCAGACTCGGCCGCTGTGCCAGTCACAGTCAGCGTCGCGGATCGTGGCGGAGTCGGCCGACCTGAGCTCCAGCTCGGCTGCAGGGTCTCCTGCCTGGTGGCATGTGTAAAATCTTCGCAAGTGGTCCTGGGGATGCACAGAATATTGCAAACGTCAACCTATTGGCAACTGGTAAAGGAATACTGTGATATCATGTTTCTTAATTATCACTGTTATGCCGCTGTTATACAATGCAGTTACAATACACGTTTAAGGAGGATACAACGGGTCCTCGGTCTGACTGTTATTCACGTGAACATCAGCTGTGCGCCCATGTTGAGCGGTACCCGCAGGTTCAGCTCGTTTCAGGACCAGAAAGTTGCTGAGGCCGCCTGCCTGGTGTTCTGTCGGCTCGCCGAGACCTTCAAGACGGACCCGCTCAAAGTACAGGCGATCGCCGACAGCGGAGCGCTCATCAACGTCCAGCAGCTGGTGAGCAGTAAACAGCCATCATTGGTAGCCAAAGGGTGCCTTTGCAACAGGTCTCAAGCTTGTTGAGAGCTCTGCAAGCTTTGTAGCAAGCTTTGTCAGTTCTATCCTTGTTACGAAGTGTTTTGGATTATAAAATGCAAGGGCTCATGCAGGACAGAGCTTAACCAACAGTGATGTCATTTAACACATACGTGTGTGTGCACATAGTCATGGAGTGTTTGCTACAATTCAATTCCTTGGTCACCGGTGATCGTCGCAGTTACTCCACGACGGCATACCAGGCTCAGTTTGCGCTCAGGACTACCACTATTTTAGACGGACTCGCACCATCATCTTGGGGATGTCTCAGCACGCGCGCTACCCGCTGTGATGACGCGCCGCGACCGTGACCGTGCTGGTCGTGGTGATGGTGATGATGACCGTGACCATGCTGGTCGCGATGATGGTGATGATGACCGTGACCGTGCTGGTCGTGATGATGGTGATGATGACCGTGACCGTGCTGGTCGTGATGGTGGTGATGACGACCGTGACCATGCTGGTCGCGATGCTGGTGATGATGACCGTGACCGTGCTGGTCGTGGTGATGGTGATGATGACCGTGACGCGTTCGGCAGCTGGTGGCGTCCCCGGCCGTGATCGGCAGCTCCACCTTCTGCGAGGTGGCGCGCATGCTGCGCATGCTCTGCAGCCACTGCCCGGACATCGCCGTCCGCCTGCTCTCCGAGAACATGGCCGAGACGCTGCGTACGCTCCTATCCGGAGACACGGAGCAGGTGTGTACCCGGCTGGCGGCAGGTACAGAACAGGGCTGTACTTGTTAACGAGAGACACAGAAGTGGCGTGCATCCTGCTGATTGGATTAAGGAACAAGTGTGTAGCAGGCTCTCAGACTGATGGGAGATAAGCAACAGGTATGTACCAGGGTGACGGTAAATACGAGTCAGATGAGCAAGCTGGTGACGGGAGAAACGGAACAGGTGTATGCCCTGCCAATGGAAGACACGGAAACGGTGTGTGCCTGGTTGGCCTCAAATGTGTATTGTCATATGTAACCACCAAAGTGGCAAACTCATACCCTTACTAGCCTCTCTTCCGCTGTATGAAACCCTGTGGTTTTTGCTACCATCTGTCTGCGGGGATCGTGCTAGCATCAGTGACGTCATGGTCGGGATCGTGACCATGTATGGTGTGCTGTCTGGTGGGTACGCCGGCTCCTAGCCGGGAGGCCTGACTGACCGCCTCCGCCGCGGCGGTGCGCCTCACAGATGGCGCAGCAGTCGCGGAACTCGGAGGAGGTGTACGCGCTGGTCTGCCTGCTGGCTGAGATGCTGCCGGCGCTGCCGGCGGCTGGACTGTTCGACGTCGATCAGTGGCTCAGCAGGGTTCCGCCGCGACCGACCAGCTCTCACGACCGGGTACGGCCACTGAGAACAGGCGGGCACGGCCGCTGAGAACAGGGCCGGTACGGCTGCTGAGAACAGGCGGATGCGGCAGCTGAGGACAAGCGGGTACGGCTGCTGAGACCAGGCCGGGTACGGCCGCTGAGAACAGGGTCGGTACGGCTATTGAAAACAGGCGGGTACGGCCGCTGAGACCAGGGCGGGTACGACCGCTGAGACCAGGGCGTGTTCGACTGATAAGACCAGGGCGGGTACGGCTGCTGAGAACAGGCGGGTTCGGCTGCTGAGAACAGGCGGGTAAGGCCGCTGAGGACAGGTAGGTAAGGCCGCGGAGGACAAGCGGGTTAGGCCGCTGAGAACAGGCCACTACGGCCTCTGAGAACAGGCGGACAAGACCGTCTAGACCAGGCAGGTATGGTTGTTGAGAACAGGCAGATACGGTTGTTAAGATCGGGCGGTTAAGCCCATTGAGAATAGGCGGGTGAGGCCACTGAGAACAGTCCGGTTAGGCCGTTGCAAACCTGCGGGTACGTCTGCTGAGAACAGGTGGGCACGTCTGCCGAGAACAGGCCGATGCGACACGCTACCCACCCTCAGCTGGGCTCTGTAGGCCTTTGGTATGCGGCCGGTATCATGTACCTTCGTAATTTCCACTATCTCTTAAGCCTTCCGAAACACTGCAGCTGAGAGAACTTTTCTGTATCTGCAAAGTGCATTACGCGTTTCGCACGCGTGTCCAAGAATGTCCCTGATATGGCTGCGATGTTCTTCACAGGACAGCGTTGTATGGCAGTGGCAGGACGATGAGGGAAGTTGGCACAACTTCTCGGAGGCAGACAGTGCTGCGATACAGGTGACACATCTGGTGCATGTGCGCTTTGGTTTCGCCGAAGTTTGCTTTAGGATGCGTGCATAACGGTTCCCAAACATAGTGGTGTCGAAAAGGACGCTTTGAGATGAAAGGTGATAGATTTAGACCCACCAGCAGGCCAAAATCTCGCGGGATGTCATAACTGTCAAGCATGCTGTGCCTTACCGTTGCCCGTTCACTTCAAAACCATGCACTGCACTGCCGCCGAATTGTGTTATTGCAGTTACGCTAAGTTCATTTACCCTCCGTAAGCAAGTTTTGTGCGTTGCAACCGCTCCGATTATTTTTAGGGCTTTTATGGTGATTACTGCAACCTTGTTTGTCCATGAGTGTACACTCTCGATACTCACTCCTATCGCCGATCGTGAAAGGTCGTTAAGACCACTGCTCGCGCAGCGTCGGGTCATCCCCATGTGATGCGTCCTTCCTCCTAGATGTCTCCCGGCCGACGCGCGTCCTCCTCTCCTGGCTGACGTGTCCCTCACCGACTGAGTTGTCCTCCCCCGGCTAACGTGTCCCTCCCCAGCTATTTCTCCGTGACTGACGTCTCCCTCCCGACTGACATGTCTTTCCCCGGCTGACGTGTCCCTCCCCAGCTGACGTGTCCCTCCTCGACTGACGTGTCCCTTCTCGACTGACATGTCCCTTTCCGGCTGACGTGTCCCTCCCCAACTGCTCCCCTAACTATGGTATCCCTCCGGACTGGCGTGTCCCTCCCCGGCTGGAGTATCCCTCCCTGACTGAACGTGTCCCTCCCAAGCTGCCCCCCCCCCCCCCCCCCAACTAACGTGTCCCTCCTCAGCTCTCCCTGTCTAACTAACGCGTCTCTCCCCGCCTTACGTGTCCCTCCCCGGCTAACGCCTCCTTCCCACCTGACCCGCCCTCCCCGGCAGGCGGCGGCACGCTCAGACGGCAGTCGGGACCCGTCGCGGCCCGAGCTGGCCAACCTGCCGTCGCGCTCTCGGGCGGTGCGCCGCGCCGACCCGCGCCTCGCCACGCTGCGCGCCGACTGGCTGCCGCTGCTGCTGCGCGTGTACGGCGCCGGCGCCGGCCCTGGCGTGCGCCACGCCTGTCTGCGCGCCCTGCTGCGGCTCGTGTGCTCGGCCAGCGCCGACGGCCTCAAGGTGAGGGGGGGGGGGGGGGCAGGTGCTGTGGTTGGCCATGAGGGCGGCCTGGCGGGCGCTGTTGCTGTTCGCGCGGGTCATGCCGGCGTGGTGGCCTTACGGTTAGAACACTGCACTCGTGAACTTCTGAAGACGGTCGTCGGGAGTTCGATTGTCGTCGACTCGTCAGGCTGAAAACGTCTATGAAGTGTTTGTTTTCATGCTTTTTATGAAACCACTATCATGTTTATTTAATTAAGTTCCCAATACCACAGACATAGGAGACAACATCGTAGAATGTTATAGCCTTCAAAAGCGTCCATGGTATGTCGAACAAGGATGTGTACCGAGATCCAAGACATCGCTGATAGTTTTGAAGCGAGATTTAGTCGACCACGGAAGTATTGCTTAGCCCCACGACCAGTCGCATTGCGGGAGCTCATACGCGGCGGATATAATTACCTGAGTGTAGCACATTGGGAGCAACCAGAAACCGACCGCCGTAACGCAGCCGCCTGTTATTTTGTCATTTCTGTTGAGTCGTATGGGACATGTTTTCCATGCAACCTTTCAATTCAAGCTGAGATGACATGTGTCCTTTGCACGTTCGCTGTGGGGTGGAGAACTCACCCGCAGACTCTGATTCCTTTCGTAGACTAGTGACCTCTGGAGGCCTGCACGGGTTGGGCAAGTCCATGGGCAATCATATGGACTGGATAACCGGCTGGTTGGGAAAATATGCAGTATGTGTACGGTTGTGGGTAAGACAATCATAAAATGTCGGATAGGTGCTTCAAAAAATGCATGGCATGTTACTGTCAGCACTTGTTTTTCCATAATCAGCCCGATTCACACTGATACTCCTTTTGCAATGATCTACGCGAAAGAGAATGCTGCGTGTAAAGTGTTGTGGAACTCGCCCATACTCCACTTTAAATGTACTAAAAAAGATGTAAATGAGTGGTTAACGCGCGGACAAAACTGATTAGCAGCAGGTAGCGGGTGGATACGGACACAGCTCTGTGGGAAGTGGGTAGGTTAAGTCAGGGAAATTATGACCACGTAGACCTCTAGTGGCCCCTGTGGCCTCCGATTCGTCCTGCAAAGCCTCCACCTCCGCAGTGCTCCCGCCCCGGCTAACTGACCCAGTTGGTAAGCCCGCCGGCAGTTTTTGCCGGCCGCACATTGGCGGAAGTAGGTCAAACTGAGGCGGCCGCGGCCTTTTTGCAGCAGACGTGTCCCGTTGTCGTGTCGGACGCGATTATGGATCGGCGAGGGCGTTCGATCGGGCTGGCGGATCCACCCCACGCCACACCGCCTGTCCGCTCGGCCGCAATCACCATTCTGACATGTGTGACATACTACGCTGAGTGTGTACTTGCAACCACTTGTGTTTTGCTACGAGAAAGAACTTGAATGCACTCTTTTCCCAAACACGGCATTTTGATGGCGCTGCTCTGTTCGGTTTTGAGGCATGCATGTTGGATGCGTGCGGTTTTGTGCGGGAAAAGCAGTCAGCTGATTTCCCAAGCTGATAGTGTTTTGAACCGTTCAGTGTGTTATGCTAAATGTGGGCGCGAAGAAGGCGATGCAGTGTCATTCCCTTGATGCGAACCAAAACAAATCCTCTTTGTTTCTCTCGGAACACCCTGGGTCTCCAGATTACTTCGTAAAGCTTCGGCGCTGGGCTGACCACATCTGTCCTTATTTCATAGGAAGTAATCGAGATGCAGGAGATGTCGGTGCACCTGGCCGGCTTGCTGTCCTCGACGGATGTGAAGATGGTGGTGGCCGGAGTCCAGCTGTCAGAGACCCTGATGCAGAAGCTGCCAGACCTGTGCAGGGTGCACTACAAAAGAGAGGGTAGGTGCTTCTCATCCGTGATACCTCCTGCCGCTGGCCACATAGCTCGCATTCGCCGCCCAGGATGGTTCCTGTGTTGGCTTTATTGCATGAGAGGGGCTGGATTCAGGCTTGGGCATTACATTTACGCCGACATTCTGTCTTATGCGGGGGTAACCATTTGTTGTTCTAGTTTTCCTCGGTTGCACCCATCATCGCGCGGAGGGTTGCCGTGAGTATTCTGCGTGGCTCATCATCCCCAGGTTCGAGTAGTGACGATTCCCCTAACCCCGCAGGGGTGGTGCACCACATGACGTGTCTGGCGGCCGGGGACGACCCTCTGGAGGGCGTCGGCAGCAGGACCGCACGCCCGGCCCAGGTTGGCGAGACGTCCGCCGACATGTGAGTGGCGCCACCTCCGCGGGCCGAAACCCCGCGGCCCCGGGGCTCGGGGCGATTTAGCCGTCCCAGCAGGTGCTGCAAAATTGCCTTGCCCTTAGAGGACAGAAATAAACACTGCACACAAAAGGCAGCCAATCATAAGCCAACCGGTCATAAGCCAATCGGGCAGATTTCGCTCAGCTGGTCGATATTGGCACGCTACCCTCCGTTTGGCTTCTGGTCGCCAGTGCAGGTGTGACTTCATGCCATAAGTGTCTGTTTGCGAGTCCCGGCCCGCCCCCGCTGCGTCTGACGGGGAGCGTGCGGTTGGCAGGAGTCTGCGGGACGTACTGAAGCGGAGGAGGTCCTCTCGCCGCGGCAGTCTCGCCGCTCAGAGGAACAGCCGCGAAGAGGCTTCATTTGCCGGAGACGCCCACTCAGGGACAGATGCCGACCAGACAGGTTAGCTTAATACCGTCTGGTGTTGGTCACTTCGCGCCGGCTCTTGTACCAGTTCACCGGTGGAAGTAACCACCAAGCTTTGTTTCGCCGTAACCATTGATATGACCTGAATGCTGGTGCAGCTTCGTCAAGATGTGGTGTTAACGTGTTTTGTGTTTTGATGTAGCTTTTGGATGGCTCGCACTATCTCTGCCTCTTTAGTATGGCTGGCCTTTTTTGTCCCATGATGGGAACTATGTTCATGATGCCGCATATACCACAGTGCAGTGTCTCTGAGCTCCTGCCTTCACTGGGGCCGAGCCCAAGGGTTCTCAGTCAGGGGTTTCATCCATTCAGTCTGATCCGTCTTCAGTCCGGGTTCAGTCTGATCCGTCCTCTGTGGTCGGCACACGCTGCCTGTAACGGTAATTTCGCCATCGAGCGTCAAAAGAGATCAACGGAGCGAGCGGCCTTGTGTGTGGGCTGCGTCACCGCTGGCCGTGTTCCAGGCGGCGCCGGCTGCGGCCGCGCTCCCGTCGGCGGCGGTCGCAGCAAGTCTCTGGGCGGCTGCGGCGGAGGAGGCGGCCGATTCCAGGCCTCCCTGCTGGCCAGCCTCAGCCCGTCACGCTGGGGCCGAGCCAGCTCCAGCTCACCTCACGGACACAGGGGCTCGCTCAAGGTGATCCCATTGTCTTAAACGCCGTCCCTTCACGCTGGGGCAGGGCCAGCTCCAGCTCACCTCACGGACACAGAGGCTCGCTCAAGGTGATCCCATTGTCTTAAACGCCGTCCCTCTCCCCTCTTGTTTGCCCCTGTCACGATTTTGTTTTGTTTTTGCTGGGTCTTAGGGTCGAGTTAGAAAATGGCGTCTTACTGCGAAAACGGTCGGTCGCACGCCGGATAAGCGCCTATGCCTACGCATGCAGTCACATACACATTGTATACGGCAGATACTTACATTTATCGGCGCCCGCGGATAGCCTTGACCATCTCTTCTCTGCCACGATTCCCGCCTTAATACAACTGATTACAGCGCGTTTATCCCCGTTTCTCCGGGTTCAAGGTACAGAGCACTGTTGCTGGAACCGACTCTACTGCGACACCCTGTTCGGTTTAATTATCGCGTCAAACTATCAACAATGCTTACGCCGTTTAAATAAAGTTTTCAACGCCCGGACCAGGGATCTGGGAAAATACACCGATCTCTTGTACACACGGGACCATTCATTCCCCGAACTACAACCCGTTGTACAATACTCAATGCCCACAAATGCAGTAGTTACTTTATAATATCCCCTTGCGAGCCTTATACATTACCATGTCATGACAATGACCACCAGCACCGCGGGGTAGCAAAATGTTTTCACCAGCCATGTCACTCTAAAACCGTCCCCGGCCTGACTGGCCCTGGGCCTGTTTCAGGAGGGCCGGTCAGGCGACACCAGCGCCTCCGCCGCCCGCCAGGAGCGCGTGCGCGCCTGGCTGCGGCAGCGGGCGCGCCTCTTCCTGGAGCGCCACCTGGCCGACGACGCCGGCGGCCGCTCGACGGCGCTGGCGCTGCTGGAGAGCGCGCTGCGCCAGCTGGCGGCGCCCGACGGCCGCTGCGCGCCGGCGCTGCGCGAGCTCGCCGCCCTGCTGCTGGCCGCCGACCTCTCGCCGTTCGAGCTGCTGCACGGCGGCCTGGTGCGTCGGCTGACCGGTCTGCTGACAGCCGGCGCCGGTGCCGACCGCCGCCGCCGGCTGCGCGCCTTCCTGCATGCGTTGGCCGGCTGTCCGCCAGTCGAGACGCCGGCCGAGCGCTGGCTGCCGGCGGCCGACGCCGCGGCGCCGCTGGCCGCGCTTGTTGCCAAGCTGAACGCCTGCCTCGCCCAGCAGGAGCAGCTGTCCGTCAAGACGTATGACGTCACTGGAGGACTGTCCGGCCGCTGTGCGCTCCGCTACTTTAACGAACACCAGCTGAAGGTGATGACCACTGACGTCACGCAGATGGCACGGTGATGATTTGCACCTCCAGTCGTATGTGATTTCCTATTTCCCACGGAGCTGACTACCGTGTGGATTGCTTGTCCAATCACGTCGTCCCGATATATGCATTTTCCAAATAATGTGCCAGAACCGCTGTCACGTGATCGGTGGAAATTTCCTGGAATAGCCATGCCAGAATACGTACTGCTGCCACCCTACGCTAGCTCACCACCAGCGTAGTGGCTGAAGTCGGCTCGGTCTGTGAGATGTGTACGACTCCGCCTGCGGGCCCAGCGGCGTGGCCCTGCCGTCACTCACCGCGCCCCTCCCCAGTGTAACCTGCAGCGGGTAACGGACGGCGGCAGCCTGCGCCAGTGGCGGCACGGCCCGGTCAAAGTGGACCCGCTGGCGCCGGTGGAGGCGATCGAGCGCTACCTGGTGATCCGCGGCTACGGCCGGCCGCAGCCCGGCCGCTGGTCCGACGACAGCGACTCCGACGACGACGTCGACGACGCTCTGGTGCGGCCCACCCCTGCCGGCGGCGGCGTGACGTTCGCGGTGACTGTGCCGACGAGTGTCGGACTAAGCTTAGATGTGCGGCGTCGGCCGTGCGGGCCGCCACCTGGCGGTGGCGGTGTGTAACTAGGGTCGGCAGTGTTGGAGGTCTTCCTTGTCAGCTGACTTGCCGCCCTTCTCTCTATGTGTTACTGATTAAAGTTTGTGCCCTCCTGTCTGCTGCTCCCACGATGTTCTCGTCTCCAGCAGTGGACTGAGATGACGTTGTGTGGCTGCCAGGCGCGCGTTTTACCTGGTGACACCATCAGCTGGTCACTGAGTGCACTGCCGCCAGCTGGGGTACGGGCGGCTCGTCTCTGAGCGTGCACTGCCGCGAGCTGAGGTACGAGTAGCCAGTCCACTGACGTTGTCCACCTCTCTGCCGTCAGACGGCGGCTAGCCTGGGCCTGGGCGGCGTTCACCGGCTCCAGTTCCTCATCGGCGGCCGGCCGCTGCCGTACGACATGACCGTCTTCCAAGCGGTGGAGCAGTTCGGCCAGCACGCGACGCAGGCCGGCCCCGAGCAGACAGTCAGCGCCACCGAGCTGTTCGAGACGACACACACCATCCACTACAGGTGCGCTGCGCTGGCGGGGGCGTGAAGTCTTATGGTAGGCAGTGACCTGTTGACCTCTTCGAGGCCATTGGCCCTTGAAGATGTAAATGATCATTTAGTGTCGTCGCTCGTGGATGCGTGCTGTTCGAGCTGTCAACACGCGTACACTGGTCATAACCGAGAGATGTGCTCCCACATTGCATACGCTTGAGGCTCGGATTAAAAAGCGCCCCGGACGCTTGGATCAAAGTCGAAATGTCAGTGTATGCTTTCGACGACGCGTCTTTAATCGTGATTTTGCCCCACCCTTTGAGACCATGCGCCGCCGCACGACCACCGCTGCTCACTCGCCACGTGACCCGTGCCTAGGCTAGCTCCAATAACGAGCAGCAGCGCCGGCGGCCGCTGCGAGGCTCGGGACAGACAGACGGGCGGCGGCAGCGGCGGCGAGCGCCGGAGCGCGGACGCGCTGTGGTCGGCCGCGGCCGTCCCCGCGCCCTCCTGCCCCCTCCTGCCGTACCTCACCGCACGTCTGCCGTCGACCGTCACCGTCGACGACCCGTGCCTGGAGACGCTGCAGCTGCTGCGGCTGCTGCACGCCCTCTCGCGACACTACGGCACCCTCTACCACATGGAGCACTGTCCGCCGCTGCTCTCGGAGCAGGTAACGCTCGCCGAGTTCTGTCTGTGTGTTGGCGCCCAGGTTGCTGCCGATGCTGGAGCAGTTTTGTTAGGCTTCAATGGCCACTGAGAATCGCATATGCATGCGCTGTTGTTTTTATGTAACTATCGTTATATTTCGTTGAATGCCTGAAACATGAGGCATTCGTGTCATGCTAGCCCTCCCCGCCCATTGACGTGGTGTGCTGGATCTTTTCAGGAGTTTATCAACAGTCAGCTGACGGCCAAGGCCAGCCGTCAGCTGCGGGATCCTCTGATCCTCATGACCGGCAGCACGCCGCAGTGGATCCAGCAGATCGGGCTCACATGGTAACATATCCCCAGAATAGGACAGGCGCTCGAACACAGCCGCGACAAGGGCGTCGCGCGAGCCGTTTGGGCGGCCAGCTGCTGGCAGCCTGGCCGCGCCTATTACTTGATGAGCCGATGGAGTACAGGCCGCGCGGAAAATTTTGTAGTAGTCGCTAATGCAGACACATTACGCACATACATTTTGTTCCTGTAGCAAGGCGTCTGCGAGACCAGATTGCTGTGAAAACTGAAATGAATAGTAATATTTCAGACATCACGGTCCTTCCGTAAATGCGATTTCATTTTGAAATACAGCTTTACGAGGCCATGTTTATGTGTACCTGAGTGGATCTTTTAATGAGCCGAACGTACGTAATGACGCAAGAAATCAGCTGTGGTTTGCAGGTACTCAGCACTCGGGAAACATTCGTAGTTTCGTCGACAATGTCATGGAGCCAATAACTTACTTAAAGATCCGACAAAATGAGCCCAGCGCTGCTTCCGTCATGCGGACTGCCCGCTGGACGTTCTGACGCTCCTGCACCGGGTAACCGTGCGGTCGTGGCGCCCTGTGACGTGCGTGGTCGTGGCGCGCCCTGTGACGTGCCGTGCGGTCGTGGCGCGCCCTGGCCCGGTCCCCAGGGAAGTGACCTCCCCTTGCGTGGCGCCGGAGTCGCTAACCCTGGCCTCCCGCGCAGCCCGTTCGTGTTCCCGTTCGAAACGCGCCGGCTGCTGTTCTTCACGGTGGCGCTGGACCGGGACCGGGCGCTGCTGCGTCTGCTGGAGGCGGCGCCGGCGGCGCGCGGTGCTGACGCCGCCGAGCGTCGCCTGGCGCCGCGGCTGGAGCGGCGCCGGCGCACCGTTAGCCGCGCCCAGCCGGCGCGCCAGGCCGAGACGCTGCTGGCAGAGCTGGCCGATTCGCGTGCCCTGCTCGAGCTACAGTACCAGGGCGAGCCCGGCTCTGGGCTCGGCCCCACCCTCGAGTTCTACTCGCAGGTCTGCGCCGACGTGCAGGTGAGGGGGCGACGCCCGCCGCTGGTGCCCGCCGCTGGCGCACGTCGCTGGAGCACACCACTGGTGTCCGCCGCTGGTGCCCGCTGCTGGTGTCCGCCGCTGGTGCCCGCTGCTGGTGTCCACTGCTGGCGCCCGTCGCTAGTGCCCGCTGCTAGCGACCGCCGGTGGTGCCTGCCGCTGGTGCACGCCGCTGGTGTACGCTGTTGGTGCACGCCGCTGGTGCACGCCGCCGTTGCCATCCGCTGGTGACCGCCGCTGGTGCCCGCCGCTGGTGCCCGCCGCTGGTGCTCGCTGCTGGTGCACGCCGCTGGCGACCGCTGATTCGCTGTTGGTGTGAAGAATGTACATATTTGCTGACTTCATAGTTCATACTCATGGGCGCAGCTAGAACTTGCGATGGAAGGAGCTACCATGATTCCCGATGGGGTGGGGTGGGGTGGGGGAGGGGGTGGGCGGGGCACTAATTTTTTAAGAGTGAGTCCCAACCCCATCGGTAGTACCTTTACATGGCAAGCAGACTAACAGACCGCACAATGCTGAAAGGCACAGTAAATATCGTACCAATGGGCTATCGATATTGATTTGCCCTGGCGCCTCAAACCATTGTTTCAGCTTCGTGCCGTGCAAATTCACTCCGCTATTCACTGATGTTGTTACCAAATTACGGCTGTTGGACCCAACATGTCGCTGTCCGTGGTACAGTATATGATGCTTTTTACCAAAAATAGTATTCATGGTCATCAAATACCAGAATTGTATTCAGATGTATCGTGGTGAAAACCTGCGCTTTAACTTGGCAAGGGGGGGGGGGGAAGCCCCTTGAGTCCCTTCCTCTGGCTGCCTCACTGCTCATGCTTCCCGTTATGTTGTGGAGCAATAAGCTTATTGCTGATTGTATTGTCTTATAGTCCTAGTTGCAGCTGCTCACAAAATGGTGCTGGCACATCTTTTATAATATCTAATAGCACGATTTTGCTTGAAACCTACCGGCCTTTATGCGTTTAACATCTATTGTGCTGATAAAGGTTTTAGCAATGATATCCTACCTTAGAAGCGGGCAGTTACCCGCCACCGTCGCCTGACACGAGCCTCTTGGTCGCAGAGGACGGACATGGGCCTGTGGCGCGGCGGCTCGTGGCGGCCGGCGGCCGAGGCGGCCGACGGCGGCGCGAGCCCCGCCGCCAGCCGCGGCCCGCCCGGCCCGGAGTACGTGCACGCCCCGCTCGGCCTGTACCCGGCCCCGCTGGGACGCGCCGATAAGTCGGCCTGCGTCGCCCGGCTGCGCACCAAGTACAGGTTCCTCGGTACGTGCCACGGGCCGGGCTTCGGGTCGGAGCCGGCGAAGGTGGTCGAGCTGGTGCACGGCGGGCCTAAAGTGCAGCTTGTCTTTTTCATTGAACCATTCGATTGAAATTTTGCGTTTGGAAGTATGTAATCGCTACATCGAAACGAATTCAATGGGTGAAAGCTGAATTAAACGTGAAGTATGCTAGAGCTGACTTTGGTAATACAGAGTCGGAGCCGCCATCAGTTTGGCCTTATGCCAACCGTTGTACACTGTCACTAAGTGGCTGGGTTAGCCTTGAGTTATTGGCGATTGTGTTTGACAGCGCAGCCTGCTACTTAATGGCGCTAGCCCTTTATCAGGTCGTGTCGTCCTCCAGAATCATAACCACGCCCCTGAGAGCGCCGTCCCGCGTCCTGGATCTGTCCGATGACGCCCCCAGCGGTATAAGCCCGGCCACTGAAAGCCCGTTGTCTCGGTACACAGGGCGCCTGATGGCCAAGGCGCTGAACGACGGCCGTCTGCTGGACCTGCCGCTGAGCGTGCCGTTCTACCAGTGGCTGCTGCGCCAGGAGCGCTCCATGACGCTGGCCGACGTGCAGCAGCTGGACGCGTCGCTGGCGGCCACGCTGTCGCAGCTGGCGGCCGTGGTGCGCCGCCACCGCCAGCTGCAGGCGGACCCGGCGTTGAGCGGCGAGCAGCGACGCGCCGCCGTCCGGGAGCTGGGCGTCGACGGCTGCTCGGTGGAGGAGCTGGGCCTGGACTTTACACTACCCGGGTATCCGGCCATTGAGCTGAAGCGGGGTGGCAGGGGCGAGACGGTCACCATCCATAACCTGGACCAGTACCTCAAGGTGGGCCACAGCTCGGGTCAGCGTCTCAAGTTGTGTCATAGCTGTCACGGACGCTTTTGGGAAGGTCACAGGCTGCACTGGTATCGCCTGGTACATGGTAAAGGCTGAACCATCGTCATTCTTGCTCGCATCGGGAGGCATGAATGGCGTGTAGAAAGATTACTTATAATCTTGTTCCACCGCAGATACTTCTCAGAAAGCTTCATTTCCGCAATTGCCTGTTTGTGCAAAGTTTAGCTGCCAGGGCCATTCTTTCCATGCTGAAGGAACAAACATTACTGTGCACCTTGTTGACTGCTTTCGAAGAGTGAACACACGCCTTGGTATGTTCCAGCTGCTGACACACTGGCTTCTGATTGAGAGCGTTCAAAAACAAATGGAGGCGTTCAGGGAAGGCTTTGAGTCGGTCCTCTCCCTGGATCACCTAGCTATGTTCCTGCCAGAGGAGCTAGATCAGCTCTTCTGTGGCAGTCAGGTATGCTAACGGTTGTATTTCCTTACGAAGGATCGATTTGCACAATTTTCCAAATCATGTGCACTTTTCTCCTGGATTCTTGGGGATTTGTTAGTAAAATACAGGTAGTGCATTTTTTTCACAAGAAATTCAGCCCTAGCTTCTTTCATCTTTGTTTTTGTATTTTACCCTACCCCCTTTACCTCGCTTGGTGCGCGCTTTGTCGAACAATATATCTAAATGAAAACATGCATATCCCTCCGCATGAGCCGATTGCCGGCGCCCGTTGCGTCGTTAGTGGTCGGCCGCGGGTGACTGTGCCTGACCCGACCTGACCTGACCTGACCTGACCTGATCCGATCCCGCAGGACAGCCAGTGGGACGAGCGGACCCTGCTCGAGGCCTTCCGGCCCGACCACGGCTACACGTCTGAGTCGCCGCCGTTCCTGTACCTGGTGCGCGTGCTGTCCCGCCTGGACAGCCAGCAGCGGCGCCACTTCCTCAGCTTCGCCACCGGCTCGCCGCGTCTGCCCGTCGGAGGTGAGCCAGTGAAGCCCCTCGCCTCGGCCCGTTAGCACCCGCGTCTGGGAGGAATCCCCGCCGTGTTCCGAGCGAGCGCTGACCCTCCATTAAGGGGTTAAGCCTGAAGTCGCCAGCCGGTCTGAGGTATAACTCCGTGAGTGGGATGTTGCATGTTCACATATTACTCTGATGGTCGCCATCTTTCCTTTTGTAAACCCGGGTGGGATATGTCGTGAATACGCATTAGTTGGTCCAGTTGGATTCTTGAAGCTAGCGATGTGATAAGCAACCACAATATCATACAAGAGTTAGCGGAAGTCGGTTTAAGCATTATTTAGCACAGGACAATTAGTACCATGCCGTCTCCGGCTGCTCGTCATTGCCGTCTATGGGGACGGAGACGATGGTTAGCGGTCCGGAAAATATACCCTGTAATATACCCTGTGCGTTTGTTTCGAGCCGACCTACATATCCTCTTTTCTTCTCCTGCCTTTCCCATTCTACCAAACATGACCTTCACGATGCCCCTCTGCTGGCGGTGGAGAGAGCTCCGTTTGCCCGGCTGGCGAGAGCCGCTCAGTACGGTCCGGCCGCTGCCGCAGGGTTTCGCGCGCTGGCCCCGCCTCTGACCGTGGTCCGCAAGACGGTGGAGTCGGGCCGTCGGCCGGACGACTACCTCCCTTCGGTGATGACGTGCGTCAACTACCTGAAGCTGCCCGAGTACAGCAGCGCCGAGGTGACGCGCCGGCGGCTGACCACCGCCATCAATCAGGGGCGGCTGAGCTTCCTGCTCTCCTAGCGGCCGCCCGTCGAACTCGTGCTTCTGCCATTGGCCGCCTGCTTCGCACCGTCTGCTCACTGCCAGCGCAACGGACTTACCTCACAAGCAGAGTTTGTGGTAAAGGGATGCAGAGCGCCACCGGCTGAGCCCTCGCTGTGGAGATAGCTCACGGCGGGCGGAATGCCTCGGCTTGTGCGTCGCGGTGCTCCAGACCATCGCCGGGCATACCTCAGCTGCGTCAGTGTTGTCGCCCCAGCGGCGAAAGCGGTGCGAGCGAGAGCTCGCACTCCGGCCGTAGAGCGGAACGTCCGCGGCTTCCTGAGTCAGCCAGCTGTGATTCGGAGCTCTGATGAAACTGCGGCCTTCCGACGCACCACCCTTCTGGTGGACTCACGCAGCGGAATGTTCGTCAGTAAAACGTGTGCCAAAGGGGACGAAATGGGGTAGTTAGGGCTGCAACTGAACTTCCAAGAGCTCTTACTGCTTTGAGTGCAGTCTGAAGAAAAGGAAATACGCAGCGGAGTTTTGTCCTGAACATCGAACCACTCATGTACGAGCAAAGATCAACCAACGGTGCGCTTCTCAGCGGGTGGTAATTTTTCTGGTACACATTGCCGTGATTAGCTGCCCGCAAAAGGTTTTGCGCAGGGCATGCATAGAGTGATAACCATACAATATATCTGAGTTAAGGTTTTGAGCCTGTCTGGTACAGTCATGCGCCTGGATCACATGTATGGATCCGGGATACAATAGGGTTCTACGTGAACAGGATCCTGGGATCAGGTTTAGTGATCTTTTGTTGGGTTCCAGACACATGTCTAGTTCGGTGTTCGTAATGCATTAAGGTTGGAAATGCATGTGCTTAACCATGTCAGAAGCTGAAAACACCTGCGTAAATACGAATGCACAGATCCTGGAAAGCTCGCTTTGATGTAAAACCCTAATCGAATTATCGGCTCCAATCTGATCCGGGTAATGGTGCTAATTACCTTCAATGCCAGGAGGCACTTTTGATACAAGCGTTAAGTGGTTCTATTTTAGGGCATTCGGTTTTGTGTTTTGGGGATGAAGTCGGGGCCACAGTTTTCAGCGCATAATCACGGCTGGTTTTGTTGCACCCTCAGTCCCTTTGAGCTGTTTTGTACAATTTCGGATGAAAATAAATGTGGTTACCATAACGCGTCTGTTGTGCGCCGCATCTCCTGCGTGCTACACTGCGGTCTGCCATGAGAAAGACCGAGCGGTTGACGACCGTGGTTGGTTGGCGTTTGAAACCATCACCGCATGACGTGCGATGGATGTCATCGATCGCGTTCCATGTTCGTTGGAGACGTCCCTTTGTGAGCAGGCGTCACGTAGCTGCGTGATTGGAGCAGCCGACATCCAACACTTGCTTATGGAAATGCATGTGCTTTGCATTGCAGCCTGCAGCCCTTCGTTAGTCTTAAAATTTGCAGATAAACAGCGCTCTTTCCTCGTGCAAATGGCACAGAGCGAAGCGATACCGCTGTGTGGTCGAGAGATTGCTGTCATTGCCGGCGGTTTATACATGTTAACAGTCCTACGGTATAAGTTTAACGAAACTTACGAGTTGTATAACCGAGATTATGGGAGCTCGAAAACAGGGATCACATTTCTCTATCAGTTGCAGTGTTTTTACCCCTGAAAATCCGCCCAGAATGTTGGTTGATGTATAACTTGCTAGATCCATCCACAATAGAAGATGGTTGCGAATGCAACATACATAGTGGCAGAACGCATGCGCTATCTGCGACCACCTTATGTTATATGCTCTGACTGAACATGTCCACACTTTGAGCAGAGCAATACTTTTTCATTAAGAAACGATATCGTTCACGTTCCAAGCTCGTTGGACGACACATCCTTGTGCTGTAACACAAGGCAAAGTAATCCGTAGTGAAGTGCATACAAGGCACAAGGTCGACGAGGTATCTGCATATGCACGCATGCCAGATGAGCGATACTTGAATTCAGCAGCATAATGCACAAATAAATGAATGTGTTATCATCGCATTAGTTGTGAGCGTAACAAGAACGCAAGGCAATGCTAGTTTGTGTGTTTACCCTCGCCGCCGGCTAGCCGACTGCTCAGCCATCGACCCGCGCCCCGCCAACTGTGCCCCGAGGGCTGGCGGACCATGTGACCCGTCTGGCGGGCAGCGGTCCGACTTCGGTGGCGTCTGGCGGAGTTACCGAGAATCAGCTGGCGACGAACAGCCGGGCCTCAGCAGCGAAGACTGGGGCGTCAGACGTGCTACGCCGGATATCTACGTGGGTGATGTTCGGCCCCGCTGGGGCATGGCGGGGAGCGGCGCCCGGCCACCGCGGCGCACTCTGTAACAGACCACACACGCACGCGTCCGAGGGAGAGGGAGGGGGAGAGGAATGGGAGCACACTCGGTCAAAAGGCTGCAACAACCTAGCACGGCCGTGCAAGCTGACAGCGGAGTAAAAAGGTTGGCTGGTTGCAATTCTACTGAAATTTACGATTGCCCCTACAGACCTGGCTAAACGTCTATGGACAGCAGCAATTTCTAAGGTCTGAAATAGCGCAGTGCTAGCACGTTTATTTGCCCTGACTCCGGGAATGACCGTACGAACAAAACACGAATCAAACCACACGGTCCGGGTAACCTAACGCCTGGAGGTGGTTATCTGGAGACAGCAGCTCCCCCAGGTTTCAGCCGTCTGTCGCAGATACGTTGGCTTCTCCGGTTGGGACGGCAGCCGACAGCCGCCTTCCCGCCACGTCGCCCCGCCGTTGGCGAGCCCACGACGACCCTCCGGTGCCGGCCAGATGGCGCTGCCCGCCATCCGCCTGCCACAGGTGTCGCCGCGCGCCGTGGCCCGGCGGCCGGCGTCAGTTCCGCGCCTGCCCGCCAGGGTGCGGGCCGAGTGGCCGACGGTCGAACGTCGTGACGGCGGTCGCCGGGGCAGTGAGCTTCGAGACGGCGACCGGTGAGCGGCGCTGCGCCCGCGGCGACTCGACCGACCGGCACCGTGTCGAGGCATGCCCGGCGGGGGCGGGGTGAGGCGCGGTGACCAGGCGCCGGCTGCCCGGCCGCTCCGCTAAGGTTCCAGATAAGCCCAGGTGAGTGCCGGTACAGTGTCACTCGCTTCGCGGTAGGAAGCGTGCAGTCTGGTTGTTGAGCAAGATCGTCCTTGTTTTGCTTGGACCGACGATGGCCTATGCTATTTCTAAATCAAAATATTATTATTTGGCCGGGCAAGGGCTGCTGAAGATGTTTGGCAGCCTTCTGCTGAAAGAGGAGCCTCACCTTGCGGAGTGACGACGAATTTAAAATCTGAATTTGTTTTGGCACCAGTGACAGTTGTTCTTTACAGGGGCCGCAATCCATGCCTTTATATTTCGCCAGAAAAGCAAAGCTCTGAATCGGCAACCGTGTTTAGGTGCCATTTGACTGATTACATTGTTTTGCTTTGTTTATTTATTTTGCTGATTTGAGGTGCTTTATTCAATGGATAGGTATTCCGAGAGGGCGGGAACGTCAGGGAACGAGGGAAGGAGTGGCTGCTCCTCACTGTTGGGAAGACAGACGACGTTAGCCAGCTATTGGTGTATGGAGCGAACTGCATTGAGGGCCGTTCTGACACTGAGCTAACTCTCGTTTCGTTGGTTGGTCTACCATGCTGCGGCCTTGTAGTAAAACCAAATGGTAATTCAAGTATAACGCGCAGAACACTAGCCTTGATTTTTAAGATGTCGCAAACACGATCTTGCTTTTCGTTGGCTTCACTGACACAGTTGGCGGACCGAAAGCATTGAGCTGTCGATTGAATTGCGGAATGTCCAACAAGCATCACAATGTTAGCGTCAGTGTGTAACAAATCAGTATCAGTTGCCAATGTAGGGTTTACTTAAAACTGAAATAGAAGTGATGTAACCTGACCTGAACCCCATACACGGTACGCAACCATACTCGTCTGAACCCCATACACCATACACGTACGCCCCAAGGGGACAGCAGCAACTGCCATCCCTGCAAAAGTGAACTGCCCAGAACTCTCTCTACTGCCCAACTCTCTACTGCCCAGACTCAGAGCGCACGGCCAGCAAGCCCGGCTGCCCCGACAAAGCACAGCTGTCCTGGCGGAAGGCAGGTGGGGCTGGACTAGCGCTGGCCAGGGCCGACCATTCCCTGTGATGCACGTTAGATCCAGCTGTTTGTTTAGGCCCGAGGCCTGCCTGCACTAGGGCCTCCTCCATCGCGGTGTGTATGGGTCTTGTCGAGTTCTTTGTTTGCCCTCGCGCTCCTCCGTCGGCCAGGTCGTTCCTTCTGTGGTCGGGACGTCTGTCGGTGGGCCGCTGCTGGGGTGGCAGGTGTAGGGCGGCGGCTCTCCTCATCAGGTCTCGAAAACCACCGGGCGGAGCAGCCTGTTACCTGTGATACTCTCGTTGCAAGACCGAGCCGGTGCCGATGCAAAATAAACGGGGCGAAAACCCCTTGCTGTGCAGGAGTGGGCGTTAATGCGACCTTGGTGGGACAAATGATGCATGTGCCACGTGGTAATTTGGACGGCAGCCGTGCGAGGTGGACCGATGCCAAGCCGCTGCTCTGAAACCGTTCCACGATCGCAGATGGCAACTGGTGGGCAACCTGATGCCGTAAATGGCGACTAGAAACAATTCAACTCCGGCAACAGTCGTCTCGTCGCCTAGTGTTGGAAATAACATTATTTCGTTTACATGCCCTACAGTAGCGGTCAGCATCTAAGGGCTGTCATCAGTCACGTTGCGGCTTCCTTGAACTCCAGAATAAGTTCAGCGGGCTGGAGATTGAATCCCCCGTTTAAGTTCTCTTTCTGGTAAAGTCGTGACCTTGAAAGCCAAGTGTGACGTCAAGTGTCTCTTCTCAAATCCTTATTATAATCCTGCGAACGGATGCCAATCATCGTCTGCAGCCAATCCAGCTGTATTGTGTTCCTTTGCGCAGAGGTCCGGGATGTTTATACAAACCATCCACTGCCCGCACCAGCCAGACGCTCTCCTGCGACTAGTCAATACTCATGAACGTTTCAGAGGCGAAAACGTCGACAAAACCAAAATTGCGCCGCATGAAAATTACAGAGGCGAAATGACTGAGAAGTGATTAAGAGATAGGCGCTCAGGTTTCTCGTTGTTTTCCGGTGTTTTCAGCTCTATTCAGGCTCAAACCACCGAAATACAGCCGTTTCGACGCTTTTGATGCCGGCGGCTCTTCATGGAAAACTCACATTGAGGTGTGCTTAATTTAAAATTGTTGGCCCAATGTCTGTATAGTTCGTTGAGTTGGGAAGGCCGTTCATTGTTCAGTTTCGCTCTGCGGGTAAGATTTTCTCTACCAAGTCCAACGGCTTCCCCAGGGGATGTACCCGTTACCATCCGCCACCCATTTCTGATCAGTTGCATTAACCCGCTACAAAACCTCATTTATTTTAAAGCTCTAATTATAAATTGTGACACCGTTTCATGACAAGTAACACTTAGACTAGCACTCAAGCGACTGTAATGTCAAAACTTATAAGAACGCGTCTGATGTTACCAAAAGAAGCGGAAGCAGGGACATTGCAGAGTATTTCTCGAGACGTGTACCCGACGTTTCATTTATCGTGAACGTTTTATCCATATTAGTACCCATACTCGTTACCCGTTTTTTCTCAAAACCGTACTCAACCAACCTAGCCCATTACCCACTCCATAGGGGTATCCATGGGTTTACCCAACTTAGAGATCTCTGGTCCACCCTGACTTTACACACAGGGCGATTCCAGCACCTAAAACTGCCTGGGTTTAAGAGTGTCCAGCTGTTCTTCGGTCGGCTTCGACCATCCTTCTACAGGGCTAGGAAGTCGGTGACTACAACCATGGCAGTCACCCACCCCCGCTTGCCCCGGTCCAGGGCAGGGTGAGTCAAAGCCCACCGCGCGAACGGCAAGCTAGCATCCGTGAACGCCTTATCTACTGATATATGTCGGATGGGTCTGGTCTTTGTAGCTGCTGACCCATTCGTTTAATTAATTAAGAGCAACGAGGTCGTGACGTCTCGGACCAAAGAACCTTCAGGTCGATTCTTCAGCTAGGAAGTAACTGTGAACGTGCTTTAGTAGTCATGCTTCTAGGGACAGACGGCGGGAAAGCATTTCTACTTCCAGCGCACCTCTGTCTGCTGGTGCTCGGTCAGCAATGGCCTCATAGACTCCCCGCGAACAGGCTCTGTTTGCGCGAAAACCAGGCCATTGACTAAATGCTGCTGTGTAAATGAAGCCTGATAACTGGCCGGTTGCAGCTTCGAGATGTTCTTCGCCGGACGCTGAGGTAGAAAGCTTTTAGGTCGAGTGGTCATCTGATTTCCCCCGATGCTTGCCTGGCTCACTGTAAAAGGCCTGTTCCCCGGAGGCCCATTGGCGGAAGGCGAGCGGTCGTTTCCATGGAGCCGCTGTACACAGTAGTGTGTGACGCCGTCGCGGTCAACTTTGCCCTGTCCCGCCGTCGCCGGGAACAGTCGAGGTCACCTCCGCCCCGACCTCTCGCTCGAACTCGCAGTCGGCGTGACCTTGTCGCCGCTTGGGTCACACCAGCCGGCGACCCCGGCTGCTCCGTACCGTCGCCGCACGTCCATGAGTGACACGCAGTAGCGGGCGGCGGCGGCCACCGCGTCACCTCCGTGCCAGGTATGTTTGCACTGATCAATACGAGCACCGGCGCGGCGCCCGGCCGGCAGCGGAACGGCGCCCGGCGCCGGGCAGCGGGGGGGGGGGGGGGGCGGGGCTTCAGACGGGCGCCGCTCTGGGCAGGGGCAGCGGGGGCGACTCAGGACCACAGATGGACACCGCCCTGGGCAGGAGCAGCGGGAGAGGAGAGCCAGGGACACAGACAGACATCGCTGTGGGCAAGAACGGAGGAGGTGACCGCGCCTGCACGGGATGGGAGCTGGACGGAACACGCCGTTGGAGAAGGCCGGAGCCGGTGTAACGACGGGCTCACATGAAGAAGGCGAACGCCGGCCGACTGCGGCGACGTCACCGGCCCGCCGGGGCGCCGGCAGTGACGTCACAGGCCGCTGGGAGTGGATGTGACCTGACCTGCAGCCGGGCCTCCGATTGATCCCGAGCCAGGGAGGCTGCAGAAGCTGTCGGGTTCGGGCGCCGCCCGGGCGCTGCTCGGAGAAGCGGTGAACCTGGGGCATTCGAGCGGAACAACCCGCTGCCGGGGCCGACAGGCTCGAGCTGTGTGCAGCGCAGCGCCGGATCTCCGGGATCAGTCTGCTGAGCCGCACATCTCCTCTTGCCTTTCACGCGCGTTGGAGGGCGTCCGGAAACAACTAGTGCTGGAAGGAGGGACAGTCCGCTTTCATCTGGGATACAGAGCATATCAAGCCAAGAAACATAAGTTTGCACGATGGATTGAGGCTACAAGGGATTTCCTTGTGTGAAAATTGCTGTTAACTCCTTTGTCAATGCTGTTTAACTCTGATGACATCTCACACGCCCACATTGTTAGTTTTTATGCGATTTAGGCCATTGCTTTAAGTAATCTCCTGTGATAAGACATGCTTTGCAAGTTGCAGCTTGCAAAATACGTTGCAAGTAAGCATTACTTATATTATTGATAGAACTATGATCAAAGCGGCGGGACGCACGCGATTGCTGTATGGTCACGATGCTACTTAGATTCAGTGTAAATTGCGTGGATTTCTACGGACTGTTTCCACCTACGCCCATCGCTTCATAGGTCGACAGCTTCCCCACATTTTCATTTCCACCCACATCGCTCATCTCACGCTTTGTTAGGCCGAGGAGCAGCCCCTGACGTGTCGGTGCAGTCGTTCAGCACTGCAGATGTTACCTTCGTGTTAAGTAAGACGAATTTGCCATTACCATTGCAGTTTTCAGTAGGACTCAGGTCAACTAACCGCATTGGAGGTGTTAAGGTCTTCCCGAGCCGTGTGAGGGCGCGGCATGGTGATCTGCTATCGCTCTTCTCCGTCGCTTCCACTTCCTGCTCCCTGAGGTGCTACATTCTTGTGTAGTGTTACAAATGCGCCTTTGCCACTGCAGTTTTCAACATGATTTAAGGCAAATGGCCTCAAA